GTCAGGTATAACTTGGTTTAACGAACGTATTTTTATTCATGATATATGCACAATGATAATTTATTTCTTTTATTTTTATAGGTGAGGGTGAGGAAGAGCCGACTCACATACCATTATATGCAGATCCTCTAGTTATACTTCGAGCATACATTCCTGGGATTGAGCGCGGGCCCTTACCAGCATGTGCAGAGGGGTACAGACTCAAGCAGACTGAAAAATATAAGCTTGCGAAAAAAAGATTAGATGAATGGGCCCCACAGATTGATGAGATTTTATCTGATGCAAAAAATGAAATAAGAAAAAGATTTGGTGAGTTTGATCAAAAACTTAATCAATTCCGAGTCTATTAATAAAAAAACATAATCAATTCCAGAATGTTGAAATTTGAATGTTTCCATAATTGTATCCATATCTAATAAACATAATATTCTCAGGTTTCTCTTTTCCTTACAATTTTTCTTCTTCCTTTTTTAGTAAATTCTAAGAGCTTAAGATTGATTAAATAAAAGTGTTGATATATCTATTATTTCTTTTTTGTAGGAGAAAAACTTTACCAGAAGAAAGGACGCCAAGGAAGTGACTTTAAAAAAAAGTTACCACCGGATGGTTTTCGAGCAATTGTGAGATGGGGACATAATGGGATTCCAACCGGACAGTGGGCTAATAACTTCAGCTCATACCTTGGATGTTTGATACGGAGGAGTGATAATGTGAATCCCTATTACGAGGCTTGGGAGCAGCCATTTCCTGTCCTGGAGAGTATATATCGAGATTGTTGGGTAAATCTTACATTTAGCACAATTATTTTTCAATTCTGTCAATTGTCCATGCTTAACTATATTTTATTTTTTAGAGATATTTCAACATCGAAGACAATCCCGTAGGGTGGGAATTTTTATTTGGATACCAGGAAAAGTTCAAGCATTCTCTTCGGGAGTGGAGACATGAGATAAAGAAGAAATGCTTTGATTGTTTCACTCACAACTGGGAGAGGATATACAAGCGAGATAAGAGGGTTGAGCCTGAGCACTTAGCTGCACTTATAATATTGTGGGGCCAAGAGGAGCACCAGGTAAATATGTATAGTAGTTAATTATCATCAAGTTATTTATCTGAAACTAGTGATATATTCCATTGTATATTATACCATGCACTAAAATTCTCTTTGTTCATGTTGAAGGAAAAATGTAGGAGAAATAAACTTCATCGATGGAAAAAAGATTATGATCATCATACGGGGACTACTTCATTTGCCCAGATTGTGGATCAATTTTGTAGGACAACGATATAAAGTCTTTTAATCTTCTATATATATTCTCTCTGCTTCTTAGAATATTTGATAAATAAAACTAATAAATATATTTTTAAATCTTAGAACGCTCCCTTTATCCCACTACCAGAACTGCACAGGAGAACGATGGTTCAATTTAAGAAGGGGTACGATGACGATGAGACTAAGAAACAAAAGCTAGAATTGGCCAAGAAAATGCAGGTTAACTAATTATCTTAGCTCTTATTAGCCTGTTATCATGTTGGGAATTTATTGTTTGCACTCTTCTTTTGGCCATCTTATTAGCCGAGTTACTATGACCCATTCGTATGAGGGGCTTGCTTGTTAGGATATAACAATGCATAAGAAATAACATACTGTAACATGATTGATCTACTTGGTTTTATTCTCGAAAACCTTTGAATTGCTGATGACAAAACTTTTCCTATCACCTTACAAGCCAAAGCACCCTTCAACTATTTATTAGCACTTAACACCCTTCTTCACATGTACTTTTATGTTGCACAAAACACCCTTCAACTATTTATTAGCACTTAGCCCTCCTCAGTTGTGGAACTATTTGTACTTTTATTTTACTTGTTCAGGTAAATATCTTTTATTTTTGAAAGGCTAATTCTTAAATTTATTTTTTTGACTTCTAGGAAGCTCTGGAAAACACATATTCTGAGGTTGTTGCACAGAGCCAAGAGCCCCTGACTAGAGAGCAGAATTATAATGTGAGCCATTTAGTTTGTGGACTTCCTAAAAAAGGGAGGACCAGGTGGATGGGAGTTGGAGCTCAGAGGGTGTCTACACAATTCCAGCCTCCACCGATTTCCACACCCTCGACTATGCCATCGGGGCCCTCTTACATGCCGCAGGAGGATTGCACTCAGCAGGCGATGCAGCTTGTTTCCTCTGTGATGAATATGTTAGATGGTCAGATTCCCGAGGAGATGTGGGAGGATATTCAAGAGGAGCTTATGCGAGTGATCCAGCCTACTGCTACTTTTGCGATGGTTTCTAGGCAAATAATGAAATCTTGTAGAAGGCGGGTTCCTACTCGGGTGCAAAGCCAGATTATGAACTTCTTGGCCACTCAAAAGGCATTTACTGGTAGTGGAGAGAGTAGCAGACAGGTATACTTATTATATATGTAAAACATGATTACACACAATATTATGTGATTCTAAATTTAAATTATTTTGTTGTTAGATTGGAGATGATACTATTGGGAGCACGAGTCGTAGGGATGGATCCGCAAGTGGCAACGCGGACGATGACATGGATAGGGCGGATGACCTATCTTAGTGAGTTATATCCTAAACTCGTGTTTGTATATTGTGGACATCTTTATAGTTGAGATTATGATACTCGTGTTTGTATATTGTGGACATCTTTATAGTTGAGATTATGATACTCGTGTTTGTATATTGTGGATTTAGAACTTATGATATGTGTGTATTGTTTGTTGTGAAAATTATTATTGTGGATTGTTTGTTGTGATACTCGTGTGTATTGTTTGTTGTGAAAATTATTATTGTGGATTGTTTGTTGTGATACTCGTGTGTATTGTTTGTTGTGAAAATTATTATTGTGGATTGTTTGTTGTGATACTCGTGTGTATTGTTTGTTGTGAAAATTATTATTGTGGATTTGGAACTTATCGTGAAAAGTGAATGTATATATTTAGATTGTTTGTGAAAATTGATTGGATGAGAGGTTTAATTGGGGAAATTTGGATTGTATTCATTGCGAGATGTTTTGGAATGCGTGTGAAATGTCGTTTGGAGATTTGTATGTACAGGGAATATATATATGTACAGGGAACTGAGTATATATCACCAGATTTTTTTTAGCTGCTGATACTTATCGCTGACGGGCTTCCCGTCAGCGATAGGTATCGCTGACGGGAAGCCCGTCAGCGATGTACATAACATAGCTGACGAGTTCCCCGTCAGCGATACTTATCGCTGACGGGAAGCCCGTCAGCGATATTACAAACATCGCTGACGGGTCCCCGTCAGCGATAAGTATCGCTGACGGGGATCCCGTCAGCATCCATGTTTTCACCGACGACAATCTGTCGTCAGCGATAGTTGTCACTGACGGTATCCCCGTCAGCGATAGAGAAACATCGCTGACGGGA